ATTTCGACGAGGGACTATTTGGGCTGTGCCGAAGACTTGGTGTTGACGACATTCCCATCTTCCCCTCCTCTTCGTCTAACCCCCTTCTTCTTCGTCTGTGTATGGTAGGGGCTGGCGCAGTCTTCCTGTGTGAAGCGCCAGACCCCATTCACACCGTGTAACGATGATGATGATGTATGTTCAGGGCTGCATTGCAATATTGATTGTTCGGATCACTGGTATCTAAGTCTTCCGCTGTGCTATCTTATTCTTTGTACTGAGAGGTCGGTTCTTGTTCTGGTCTGCACCGTTACAGTATGCAACACCATACCTGCAGCGGCGGTACTTACCTGGCGCCATAGCCGCGCTCCACGCCTGCGACCTGCACAGGGACCATGACGGCAGTTACCTGCAGGTGAGATAGCGAGGAGGACGGCATCTTCTTCTTATTCTTCGTCTCGCCCTCCATCTCTTCTCCCTCCTTCCTCCTCCTCCTTCTTCTTCTTCTTCTTCTTCTTCTTCTTCTTCTTCTTCTTCTTCTTTCAGAGAGCGAGAGAGACAGGTTACAGGCAGAGGTTACATCGGGCATGAAGACCAGGATCTGATTCGACATTTTTGTGGCAGACATTGATTGGACTTTCGGCAGGGAGACTATTTTTGGACTTCGCTATCGCGATCTTGGTCTTCTCCCTCACCTCCATCTTCGTCTCGCCTCTCCCCCATCTCTTCATCTGTGGTATCTCCCCCATGTGTGTGTGCAAGGAGGGACCTTTCTTCCATGTATGGTCCCTCCTTCCTCTCTCACGTGTGGTGTATGATTGGATGTCGCGTCAGTCTCTGATAGGTCAGGTCATATCTTTGTGTCTTTCGCTGCGCTACATTGTGCTATTGTCATATGTATCTGGATGTACATTGCTTGTGATGTTTTGCTAACGCTGCATTGTCCATTCGAGTCCTTTTCATCACTTTGCGGATCCTTGGCTCCACATACACTGCTCAACTGAGTATGTATGAGTCAGTGTGAGGCCCAAATCCCACACCAGTCCACTGGTCCACGGGCAAAGCAAAATTGAGCACTGGTAAAAATAACCTCATGATACTGGTGGCTCAAGATTTTCACAGGACTTTATACCGTCTTCACCCGACTAGAATCCCCGAACATTGTAGGTACATTTGGGCCAGCTTTCAGTCTTTATACAGTTATAATGACTGGGCATTCCGTTCAGACGACAATGGTGTTTAGTACAGCAGAGTGGTGCTAAACACGTCGAACTCATCTCTTTGGTTGCATTTAGTGGCACACTTCCAGCAAGCGAAGTGAACTGAGTAATGAGCGGGAGTGGCAGGTTGTAGACAGTCGCTCAAACTACTCGCACCTTCAAGCACGACACAGACGTTAGGTGGAGCTTGGACGCAAGGGATGCTCGGGCCCTATTTTGTACTGTGTCTGCCCTTACGAGGGCATCAGTCAAATATGCGATGAACTTCTCTCCTCTGTGACTGAGGTTTTAGGGCAGGTATGTGATCAGACCATCGCTACTTTGTTTACATGCATATGACAACCCCACACAAGCATCAAAAAAGGTATTTCAAGGAAAAAGGAAGTCCTGAGAAGACGGCCAATGATCTCAAGGGTCTTTGCAATGACTACAGGTGTTATAACTGTTGTCACTATTATAGCGTTACATGATATATTACCTCTAGTACCCCACTGACATAGCCGCGTGCAATCAGCGAAACAACCCATCACCCACCCCTTTCCCCATAGACTCAATTCAGACATCCTTCTACTCTTACTTGCTTACCGCGATGCTTCTATCATATGCATCCGCACAGACACTTGCTCACAGAAGAGTTCCAACGCGTCATATGCGTCCATCACTGCTTCTTCTCGAAAAACATGTTCCACCTGCACAGGAATCATAATGCCACCACAGTCAGAGTCGGCTACAGGAGCCAAAGCCAGCCTTTACATGATATCATACATGTCCATCCAATCACCGGCTACACAGAAACACGTGTTCTGCCTGCACAGGGATCTCAACACCACAAAAGTCAACGGTTCGCTCCAACTGAAACGGTTTTCACCTTTGCAGTAGCAGATGCAGATCCCAGGGCTCGATCCCTAGACCTTACCCTCACCCGTGTACAGTACCAGGTCGACCCCTGTGTGTTTGAACCCGTGACCTGTGTTTTGGTAGCCGTCTGTTGTCTGTCGCAGGTTAGTGTGGTCGTCGGGTCTTGAACCGTAGGTCTGTCAAGTAGGGGTCGTTGCTGTGTAGAAGTCATAGCTGCTACCGTTCTGAAAGGTCAAGGTCGTAGCTGCTACAGTCCTGAAAGGCCAAGTCTACAGACTTCCGGAAGGTCCGGAAGTGACCTTTCGAGAATTGCTCAGGTTAGGCTAGAGGCAAGTGGGCAAGTGGGCAGTCCAACCTCGCCTAGTCAGCCGTACCCAGTCCGAATCGCACTTTGTCCAGTCCGCAAGTACCATGTGGGACTATGTGCACCCTGGGCCTGGTGGAAAGGGGCAGACCAGCGACCAACCAAAGTATACATCAAGAGGCAGCGTCCAGTCATTCATTCATTCTGCCTGTGAGCCATGCAGAAGCGCTGCCTGAGCGTCTGTGCAAGGAGGTCTGCAGGTGCCCGAAGGAGAAGTGGGCTGTGAAGGAGATGAAGCGGCCATCGCCGCTAGTGAGTAGGGAAGGTAGAAGGCAGCCATAGCTGCCCTAGGTTAGAGGTAGGCTGTTGCGTGTAAGTGTGTGAGTGTTATGTCCAGTGTGTGCATGTGTGGGACATCCGGGGAGATCCAGAGTAGCGTGCGTGTGAACAGTCGCTGGGAATACAGTGTCGGCTGGATGTTGTGTGGGCGCACAGGCGCCATAGACATCGGAAGCAAGTTTGAATCTGAACTGTGTTCTTGGCCTCAATATCTCTGAGCTTTGTGTGGGCGCCTGGCGCCAGTGTGTTTGTCATCTGTTTTCATGCATGCTGAGTGAAGAAGAAGACGAGTCTGGTTGCAGAACTGCCAAAGCCAGCCTTTCCGACTACTAGATCCTTCCGAAGAGCCAAGAGAACGCAAAGGAAAGAGAAGGTGATCGTAAGATACATGGCCTCGCTCGCTTGACTACGCACGGAATCTCACAAGTGGCACCGGTTCGAACGGATAACATCACGTTCCGCCGAGCAGTGGAGCGAGACCCGCAGAGTACAGAAAACACAAAAGAAGGGTTTGGCAGGATCGTGGAGGGACAGCCTTCAAACCGCAAGGCAAATTACAAGCAGTCATAAATGAACTACATTCCAACTCAGAGGCGTTCGTAGTGTGGTGGTCGCGATCGTGCTCGGCGCCAGGTCGGCTTGGGTACCACCAGCCTGGTTTCTTCTTCTGCGGCCATCGCGAGGTCTACCGCACCTTAAATCACTCTGGCAGCCCAGAGAGTTCCGGCACGTTATGACAACAGGATTCTCAGTGAGCTGAAGAGTATGCTATTAGATATCTTTACAGTGTCCCACAATGTCCCACCCCATGTTCTTGACTCCTGTTCTTCTTGGCGGCATACCAAGGGAGGACCACCACTGGACAGTCACTCTCATTGTGCACCAGAGCACTGAACCAGCACACTGCACCAGTCCACTGCTAACCATCTCCCGTTCAAACGCAGACCATGAGCCCGGACCAGAAACTCACGCTGCCAAACCATACGACCATAAAAGCCATATATGGGGAGGGAGGGTCTATGCCCCCTCCCTCCATCCCTCCCTCCCTCCCTCCCTCCCTCTCTCAGTCCCTCTTCTCTTCACTGGTCTAAAAGGATTATCAATGCACCCTTGTCGTTCTCATGCATGCTCCGTACTCACTCGAATCGTAGCGGCGGCTTCCTGATTCGTTCTCAGAAGCTCTGCAATCCCTTTTCTGAGTTCCTTCACTGTCAACCCCCGTTTATTCCTCAACAGTTTGATTCGTCCCACGCACAGCTTCAGCTGTGTCTTGCTGCACAAAACCCAAACAAGCCAAAAAACGAAAAATAAAAATTTGGTCCTTCGGGACATCCGATTAAAATTGCAACGATACCCAGAAGATTAGCATGGCCCTTGGGCAAAAACAACAACAACAAAAAAAAAAAAAAACAGCTGTGTCTTGCTGCAAAAATTGCTCAGACAAGGAACCACCACCCATCACTACATATTGACCAGACTACATCCTCTTTTACCAAACATTTTACCAAACATTTTTGACTGCAGTCAAAAAGCTTGCCACCAAACAACCCTCTTTTACCAAACATTTACAACTCCAGTAACAAGCTTTTTGACTGCAGTGAAAACATTTTGACTTCAGTAACAAGCTTTTTGACTGCCGTTCCCAGCAAGTGAAGCTCCCCAAGAATAGATCAGAGCATTGCTAGAAAAAACAAAAGAAAAAGAAGAGTGTAACGACCCGCCAAAACACAGACCAAAAACACTGCTCATCTCTGGGATTTGCCGCTGGAATGTATGCCTTGCTGAGATTCCCGCATTCTGCTGCGTTTTATAAGTCCGTGTGTGTGAGTGCCTGTCTGAGTGCTTGCCGGCCTGAGCGTGTGTGCGACCCGCGCCCCGCAGGGCCAGTACTTACCTGTGGCCATGACTTAGGGTTGCAGCGGGGAAAAACACTCAAGTAGCGGGGGTAGGCCCMCGACACTTAGAGCAGCGGGAAAAACACTCAAGTAGCAGGTAGGCCGGTACCACTCACATAGTGGTAGAAGTGTGTCGGGAACTCGAGGCCGACCAGAAGAAGACAAAAGTTGGCATTTTAAGAGGCCCGGTAGCGGTAAGCTAGAGGTAGGCCGGTACCAGTCCAAGTAGCCTGCGTCTAGGGCCTGTACGGACGATGTCAAGGACTGCAATGATGTTTCCCTCTGAAAGGGAGGAGGTACCAGCTGCTGGGAGGCCGCACGGTGTCGAGCGCATCGGTCCCGCACGGGGACCCTCCCGGCCGCGTCACGCAAGATTATGCAGGACTTGTCGCGGAGAGCGTTTGCCGCTCCGACCGAGTGCGCCAGCCGTACCTCTCGCGAGCCCCTACGACAGGACAGAGTCACGCGAGGCACCACTACCTCCACCTGCAGGAGCTGTCACCATCCCTTAGGCGGGCGTATCCCTGCCGAGCTACTCAACCACATGCGAAAGCTTTTCGTATGCAATTGCAGAAGTGGCCCAGCCGAGGGCGTTTCTCGCTCGCTGTAGCATAGGGGGTACGCGCGGTCGAACGCCCGAAGATCGAACCCGTACGCGAATCGTCGTACTGGGGGGCTGAAGTCCCAAACGCAACTCGACGTCGGTCGACTAGGACGCACTACACACCCACGTGTTACACCACGACACTCACGCTTACTCACCCATAACACTTGGAACCCCACGCGAAACAGACACCACAAACAATGCCACAACACAACAACTCCTAATCCCTTCAGTACCCGACCCATAACTCTCTGAGCCAGAATTCGGTTAGGCGTCGCGCGTAAGACTTAGTATAAAATTGCACGGACGTAGGGCCTTCTCATATCGGCTAGCAATGCATGAGTATGCGAGCAGTCGCAACGATGGAGTACTACGTGGTACCCATAATCGCGCGATCCTTGATAGTCTTGGGGGTCACGTTCGACACTCAAGTGTCAGCTGATACGCGCCTTGAGGGGTTAATCTCCCGACGCTAGACAACCGTCATGCGCGGTTGAAGACCACACCCTCTTCTGCACCCTGTGCAGAGGGGTTGAGTAGACAACTAAGCTGTCGTGACAGCCAGAGATCAAGGGGTTTGACTTTGACGGCTGCCACGGACTACAACGTCCAACCATGCTAATTCTAACAAGCAAGAGCTAAGAAGGGATCTCTCTTTTCTCTCGATGCAGAACTTATTTAATCACTGTGCGTGACCTCAATGGATCGTGCGGACACAAGAAAATATGATATTAAAGTTATGAGATATGAGACGATCACTCTCACAATCACAGTGGGGCTTCCTTCAAAAGTATATATATAATCATTGACAAAATCAAGTCTGGATTCAACTCACAAAACATACCAGCAACCACATCAAAGATCCACATCAACAGAGCACACACTACACGGGGTCAACTTCAACCCTTCTTTGCGCTCACACCCCTCGCTTTAGCCATACAAGCCTCACTCTTTGTGCAACTCTCAAAATAACATACTCAGCATCTTTATTAAATGGCCATTCAATTAAAGTCCGGGTAAAAATAGAACAAAACAACACAAAACATAGGGCTAAAGCCTTTTTAGGTTGAGTAGCAAGAGTGGATTAGAGTTGAGCCGGAAACCGACCTGTTATCAAAAGATAACAGAAGATGATCCTCGTAGGATCAGTTCGAAGCTAATCAAGCCTGGAATCAATTTGAATAACGATGACCTGCAATGCAGCACAGGCCAGTACCCAAGCCATGCTTGAGGGATCACGATATAATCCTACCTTCCTAACTAACCTCTGATGTGTATCTAAAAATGTAAGAAAATTCGGCAGCATATCCCCCAAACAGGATGGCTTGCCCGATTTCGGCAGCATATCCCCCAAACAGGATGGCTTGCCCGATTTCCCCTAGCTGAAAATAATATAACTCTCCAAATTCTACAAAATTTAGCATATCCCCCAAACAGGATGGCTTGCCCGATTTCCCCTAGCTGAAAATAATCTAACTCTCCAAATTCTACAAAATTTCGGCAGCGCTTCCCGTAGGAAAAGTGCCTTTTCAGAATTTCTACAAGCTCAAAATGACTAACTCTTTTCAGATTTGTAGAAATTTCGGCAGCGCTTCCCGTAGGAACAGGAGGCTGTCAAGATTCATACAGAGCTGAAAAGACAGAAAGGACAAAGCGACTATACTTGGGACTAACTTCTGACACTTGCTCGACGGTTCAGGATCAATGATAGTCCGCACAACCTCTAGATGAGGTTGTGGGCTAGCCCTGATCCTAACTCCTAGCAGGGTCAGCCCTACCTTCATCCCAAGTTTTCCCTCCCATCATCCATCTGATCTACCTATGGCTCCAACACTTGGCGAGCATCTAAAGCAACTAACCTATCGAAAAGACGCCCCAAGTGAGAGCCCATAAGCATGCATACACATACCTCTCTCACAATCCCACATCAATTTGTCCAAGTAGTTCATTAGATYATTCAKTTYTTTCYCTTTAATAAMCCCCCTYACTTATGGCYTAGGRTCRGACAYGGCCCTRACTTAAGGGTATGCCCAACCTGCCTAGGTAAACAAGTAAGAGTACGCACAACTGGACTGCCCTAACTTAAGGGTATGCCCAACTCCAGATAAACTCTAGTCATAAAACATATGACCAGACCTCCCTAACTTAAGGGTACGCCTGGCTTCTGTTTAAACTGACGACATGAAGCATAAGACTAGACTGCCCTAACTTAAGTGTATGTCTAGTCAGCCGTCCACAAGGTTACATAGGGCATAGGATTAGGCTGCCCCAACTTAGGGGTGTGCCTAACCTACCTAAAACAAGCACGAACGACGACTGGTCGGACCGCCCTAATTTAAGGGTACGTCCAACCTACAAAACATCAACAGCAAGAGCATGTCACTAGGCCGCCCTAACTTAGGGGTACGCCTAGCTAGCTTAAACAGTATAGTTACACAAGACAGAATCTGCTTGAACAAAGTACAACGACGTATGTCTAAGCCGCCCTAACTTAAGGGTACGCTTAGCCTCCGTAACGACAAATATATGAGAACAACCATTGATACTTGCACAAACTTCATATGTTTTTCTCTTATTAGGCAGAGGATCGGACCTACCCAACTTAGGGAGACATCCAACCCTGCCTTGTGTTTAGAAGGGAAAATAAAACAAGTTTACACTAACTCTCTGACCCTTTGTCTTGTCATGAGCATAGGACCGAGCCGCCCTAACTTAAGGGTACGCTCAGCCTGCCCTAGTTACCTTCATTGTACTCTTCATAGCTTTTCTCCTCTTCTTGTTCTACCTAACTTACTGACTGGCTTTCCCAACTTAGGGTGCCCAGTCTGCCAGATGATATAGGTTTGTATAATATGTATCAAAGTTGTATACTTTGGCTGACTTTTATGTTCATGGCTTATGACTGAGCCGCCCTAACCTAAGGGTACGCTCAGCCTTATACCCGTGTCCCCCTCAGAAGAAAACACACACAGTACTGGGTCCACGCAACTTAGAGTATTCCCAGTCCTGTTTTCAGCAACCCACAAAAGAAACACCAGGATTCTGAGACATCCCAACTTAGAGTGCCCATCCTCCTGTTCAAAAACCCCAGAAAAAAACAGCGACCGGTCCGTCCAACTTAGGATAGGCCCAACCCTTAAGATCATACATTCAGCCCAACAAACATAAATAAAACATAGCACTCAGCCCACATCAACTTAGAGGAGCTCAGCCTTGGGTTGACCCGGTCAAACACAGGCATACCACCTTTCTCCCACCATCCCCCAGTTTATTATATTTGGCTTCACTCAAGAATTATCTGACCTCTCATATGTACTTGTTCATTTAACCTTCACAATGCATGTCCTGACATACATAGCAAAACAAAAAGTAATAGCTTTACATGTGCATATTCAGATACCCCAGGATAAGAGATAGGGGAGGGGATCACACAGATTAACGAGATTATACCTGAAGTTCCCTGCCTCCAAAACCCCGCCTGGGCTCCGGCAGAGCTCCCGCAATCGGTGGGGCGAACCTCCCGCAGAGGCCTTGGCGCGGTCCTACGGGTTTCAATCTCGCCTGCCGCCTTCCTCTCGTAACCTCAGACTAGACTTARACTGAGAAAGATAGAAGTAGAATTGTTCAGTCTCTCGAGATACAGGAGAGGTGCGCTCAACCTCACTGGAGAGGGCCCTGTTGCCTTGATACGCCTGAGGGCCCCGCAATGATGGCCAAAAGGAATGCAGTGAGTCGGTCGAACCACGGTAGAAATGTAAGTAACAGTCTCCTGAC